CCATGTTACTCAAAAGCCTGGATTCTTAGATCTTTACAAAGAAATAAAGCCTTGTACTATTTCCCAAAAAGCTTAGGTAGCACTACACGAAAGCTGTTTTCTGCCTTTTTCCCTGCAGAAAGGCTTTAGCCTGGGAAGGAAGAGAAGTCAGATCCTAGTAAATAAAGCAACAGAAACCTAAAACTACCAATGTGAATGATAGCAGAATATGACTTCTGTATTAGGGGAAATGATGAATGTCTTCACATTATGGGAACCATTTTAAGCACAGTCTTAAAATAGTGGTTTAGAGATAGGCGAGGACATAGAGAAATTTGTCTCTACACTTTAAACCGTTTCTCTTCCACAAGGATTTTGTGTAGTAAGAATATGTTTTGGACTAGAGCTAAGAGAACGAGAAAGAAAATTCCTAGCCTTGAGTGTTGCTGCCACCTACATGGCAGGAAGACTACAAACAAAACCCAGCCCCTTCCCAGAAGGGCCTCCGTTGTAGTATACTTTTCATAAAAACATACTCTAGAAATTCTCAAGATTGTTTCTTTGCTCGACTGTCCCAATGACATGACAGCATTTATTTTTACCTCACTTTCTATCTCAGGTTCTTGCAGAATTAGACTAAATGTTTTTGTCAGACTGGTGGAAATACACATTATTTGAAACAGGGGCTAATCTGAGGAAATTTTCCTTTTTATAAAAGAATCTCAAATGCAACTGATCTCCATGTCTGTGGGAAGGAGGAAGGTCCTTAATCTCACAATGCTATAGATTTTTATTTTTTCTTTTGGCACATTCTAAAATACAAAAGGGGAAAAAAATGAAACAAAATAATGTTTCCCTAGTATATGATAACTGTAAATTGACACAAATGCAGATGATGAAGCTTGAGAATTCTTTTGATAACAGGACAGGTTATTTCTGATAGGGAATGTAGTTGACACAGCAGAATTAATAGGAAATCTCTTTAAAAGTCTAAAGGAAACTTATGATAAGTCAAAAACACATCATAGACCATCGTTTTATCTTAGAAGGCAACATCCAAGGCCATGATGTTCTGTTACTGAGGCCATATGAAACACCTTCACCCTCAAAAAAAATTCTCAGGGAAGATCGAAGACCTGATTGATGCCTTTAGATAATTGCAATTAAAATGATTACTAAGTGAATAAATGATGGGTTTTGGAGGCATGTGCCAAGTAATTATTGCTATTATATAATGTTATGAATATTGGCATTTTGCTGGCATTTGGCATTTTGCAGATTTAGACCTAATGTTGTACTAAACAATGACTAATTGTCTTTGGTACTAAAAATCTTGTATTCTTGAATAAATATCATTGCTACCTTTCAAATTATTAGGATGTTGAAGACAGAAAAGGATCCCTAAAATTGATGATAGGAAAATATGTTCTCTGCAATGAAGAAAAAGCATTTGGAAAAGCAACATCAAAAGAAAGAATTGTCTGTGTTCAATATTCCCCCATACACCACTAGAAGTCACTTCAGACATTTTCAATGGGCTATGCCTTTTGTTTCCACAAAGTATTAAAATACAAATTCTTACCATTTGTATCATTATAATCATGCTCTTAATGATGCAATTGTTACAGGCCATTTAAGTGTAACATGCATTCTAGTGTAAAGGTGGCTTTATCTTAGATTTAATGAACAGGGCCCAATACTAGGGAGTGGTACAAAACTGGATAATCTAGATAAACATTTTAAGATAATATCTATGAAAGTTTAATTACTGCAAAAAGTTCATGAAATCAAAATTCTAAAGATAGTTTCTAGGAAAGTCAGTAGGTAGGGAGGTCAAAAGAGAAAAAGGAATTAAGGCAGGCCTCACCCTGGTCCCTGCCCTGCTAATGGGACAAATGACACCTGCCATTTTCCAGGGGTTCAAATGTTGGATGGGAGTTTCCAGTAGTGGCATGTTCTACTGGGAAACCTGTTCTTTTCTGGTTGATGTTTTTCACCTGTATTTCACCTGTAGAATCCTTGTTGACCAAAGTGCTCCTGAAACCACTGTATGTGAAGTGACTTAATGTCATCTAAAAAGCATCCAACCAAGATAGTTTTAACTAGTTTGATTTTAGCCATTTTTAAAAATATCTAAAAACACTCAGCATTATGCAAATGTTTAAAAAGCAGTGACTTTTGTATTAAATGAAACTTTGGGCACTTTTTATAGGTATATATGTGTCTGTATACACACACACACACATATGACAACATTTTGGAGCAGATAAAAGGGTTTAACGTTGCTTTTAAATAACTAAGCAATCAAAACCTATACAACATACAATTTAAAATACTATATAAGTCCATTCTGTGAAAATAAGACTTTAAAATCAATTTAAATTAATGTTTTCTGAATCTTCTTTTTAAACATATGACATAAAACAATTTTTAAAAACTCAATTATTATCACCCCAAATGCTACCATCTAAAGATAGAATGTTAACATTTAGTAAAGTGTTTTCCTATCATTTTACTAATAGGGACATGTTCCAAGTAGGCTTAACTTTGTTTCTAAAATACTAAGAGAATATTTAAGGCCTGAGGGGTGCCTCCCTAGTTGCATGTTTATAATACTATATGTTACCTTGTATTGGAAGTATTTTATAGTATTCAGATTGCTGTCTCTGAACCACCTCATAGAGTGCCTTTGGACCAGCCCTGTAAGGAAGCTCCTCAGTGCAGATAAGGAAATAAGCCTCTGAGAAGCCTGTGCTACACGGAGACACAGCAAGAAGCTTCTCTCATAACACTAGATGCTTTCCAGCTTTGTGTTTCTGTAACATCCCACATAGCCAATGTACAGCTCCCCAATAAATAAAATAATCCAGGCTTGTAAATTTAAAAATATGATATTCCTTTGGACAATGACTCTCTCTTTCTCTCTCAATTTATCTTTATCACCAAGATGATTACCAAAGAAGAACCACAAAATAATATTTTTATGAATTATGAATTGTTTATTATAATGACAAGAAGAATCAGTTTACAAGCATATTCACTAATACATTTACCACAGTGGTTTACCTAAGGATAGGCATTCAAAAGGACAACCACCAGATCAAGCATCATGAGTTTTTAACTGATACCAAGTGGTTAAGATTACTGCATGGTTAATCTAATGAATTGCATGGTAACTGCTACTTCAAGTCTCCCTACAATGAAAAGTACTAAAACATGTTAAATGTAAGTCAATATAAATAAAATAAATCATTTTAAAACAGACAAATGGATTTGTTACATCAGCATATTTGCACATGGATATTAGGGTAGCATAATTTAATTTTCTCTACAACTCTCATTTTTAGAAATTAAGTCTTCAGAGTTAATAACATTGGCCTTCAGAATTAGTAAAACTCCTACTTATTAAAGTCAAGTTTATGCCATTTCTAATTTCTAATAGCTGGTGACATCATAAAATAATCATTGGGGATTTATTATTGGTTAATTTAGACTCTCACCCACCAAAATATACTAAGTATAGCATCTGTTAAACTTGTTGTTACTCTTGTTTGAGAAGGAGAATAATAGAATATAGGTATAAAAATAATAAAGCTCATTTTCAACATACATACCAGAACTTGAGCATACAAATAGGTTTAATAATTAAAATTTCCCTTTGAGAGAACATACACTCATTTGATATTGTCATCAAAGTGTTTTTGAGAGTTCTTTTAATAGGCTTGAGAGCCACAACACAGCATGCAAGAAAATATATTCCATTGCCTAACTTACTACTTTATTTTGAAACTTGTTAGAAGTAGATTTTTTCCAAAGTGGGGAAATGTATATGTGCAATTTTTCAAAGGATGAAAAATTTTCACTATTGTTCATATTAAAAACATGTTACAGTTTCTGAATTACAACTCAAAAGTAATTTTAAGCAGGGGCAGTACATTTTAGGAAACAAAGAGCACACACTTTAATTGACTTTAAAGGGGTCATACTCAATTTCTGTCTGGAATATTCATCCAGGCCAAACATTAATTATAAGTCCTCAAAGACAAAGACTATTCCATTTCAGTCACAGAGTCCTCTTATCTCCCATCTCCCCTGCCTCCTGTACCCTGTACCCTGTACCCAGGCATTGGAGCTGAAGTTGGTGCTCAAAAATGTGTCTGCTAAATTGAAGGGACTTGACATTCCCTGAGATAGAACTATGCTTCATATATTTAATACTTTATTTCCATTTTTTCCTACAGATTAGGCAATATTTGTATTCATAACATATGCACATTTATAGTCTTTGATGATTTTCTATAAGTTAAGAAATTGTACTGTATAAATCATGGCAAATAAATCTGATCACTAAAGGCCTTGATAGATGAGCACTTTATGTCAATTTCTATTTATATTGCCTTGCATATTTTAGTTTTAGAATTCCTGCTAGTCAAGCTTCTTTCTGGGAAAAGAACTGTAAGAGTATATACTTAATAAGAATCAATTGTAAAGTGTTATAAGTAGATTCCCTGTTTCTAGTTCACATCTATATGGACCAAAAGATCAACCTTTTGCTAAAGCCTCAGTGTCATTAGAAATTAACCAGGCTGGACAGTGTACTGCCATATCATGTATCACTTATTTGGGTAAATTGATGACTGTGTGCAACTGTTCATTTACTGAAAACATGCCATGCTTGGGGATGTGATTTACTGCAATGATTGGTGTCAATTAGGCATCTACTAAAACAAAATGTTCTAACCTAACAAGTCAAATTTGGTGAAGTTTTATATTAAACACATTGAAGCAACATTAAATTGAGAAGTGTTTCTTATTGTATAATTCAGGAACTGAAAACATGGAAGCAAATCTAAAGCAATGTTCAATTTGTATGTGTGGGCTGGCATTCCTTGTTGGAGATATTAAGGAAAATGAGGAACATGGAATGATTTAGACAATGATTTTCTAGAAGGAAAATTCAGGTATTTTCAATCCGTCATTACACTTTCAGGACACTCTGGTTAAAGTTTTAGTAAATTATAGACCAAGAACAACATTGCTTTTATGTGACAATAAAGCAAGGGCTTGTTTGGGGGTTTCTTGGTTTGTCCAAATCCATTGCCACAGTGAGATTCTAGTTAGCACACCTTGCAGGAGCACACCTTTGCCATCCATGAATGATGCCTTGGATCACCTAGAAATAAAACGGATATCTGGGTTATATGGTAAAAATAACAGAAAAGAAGCAAGAAGAAGGGGAAGGAGGGAGAGAGGCAGAGAAATAGGGAGGAAAGAGTAAGGGGATCGGGAAAGAAAGAAAGGATGTCATTGCCTACAATTTCTATATTTTTTCTGTCTTGAAATAAAATATGTTGATATAATAATGAATACTCTTGTCTTATAAACTGGGCAAATATATTTTTAATAACTCACTTGATTAATAGTTTTTCTTAATTGCCAAAGAAAATGAAAATTTCCAACAAGACAAATCTGGCTTGAAATTACTAAACTTTCATAAATTCAAGCACTTAATGATTCTTAGAGAAACCCACAACTACAGTTTTAGGGTCAAATCTTTTAAATATTCATTGAAATATGGTTTGATGTATAGAATCAAAAAACATTATTTCTTATACTGCTTGAATGATTATATTTCATGGCTAAAAAAACACATTACTTGAATTAATTTGACTATCAAATCAATTGGAGAATTGTGCCTCAATTAATGATTTTATGTTAATGAGGTGATGCTGAATAGTAACTCCTACTGCTACTATGAAAAAAAAATTTAAAAAGCTGATGGGATCACTTTAACTAATACTGTATCCTTAATGTATATGGGCATATGTGTGCCTGTGTGTGCTTGTGTGTGAATTAGCTTAAAATATTATATTCTTTTTAAAAAACCATTACATCAATGCTTAAATTTCCCCTCAGGTCAAATTAATCAAAATATTGATACTGTTAAACACAACAAGAAGAAGGAACATATGCACGACTACTGAAATTGTTCTTCCTCCTAGAACATTTTCTTAGCACTAGCCATAGGAAGTGTGTTCTTGGTGGCTATGATTGATGTGCTGCTCACACGGTCCGCATTTTTCTGCTTCATGCATCATCATCAGCCATCTCCAACACTCCAGTCCTGAATCTGTCCTACTTTCTGTTACCTGGTTTTTACTGGTGATTCATGGGCCACAATAGTAAAAGAAAAAAATCCACCTTGGATTTTCACAACGTATTATCCTCTGGAACAATATGCAAAATCTAGTTTTGTTCATCAGATTCATGCAAATGTAATATTGATTGACAATGATGTATATAGATCCACACATTTAACTTGCTACATAAAAACCACTGAAATGTTCTATTAATGGAAAAATGCATACTGATTATAAACCACTTCAGAATTATGTGAAAACTCATGTGAATATGCTGTTTGGATTTCCAAGCTCACTCTTGTCACTACTCTTTGCAGCTGAAGCTACTTTTTTTTTTTTTTTTAGAGGCGGGGTGTTGGGGATTCAACTCAGGGGCACTTGACTACTGAGCTACATCCCCAGCCCTATTTTGTATTTGATTTAGAGACAGATTCACTGAGTTGCTTAGCACCTCTCAGTTGCTGAGGCTGGCTTTGAACTCATGATCCTCTTGCCTTAGCTTCCCAAGCTGCTGGGATTACAGACATTTGCCACCACTCCCAGCTGAAGCTCCTTTTAAGTGCATGCTCCCTCATGTGCTAGAAAGTAAAACCCAGTTTTTCAAACTGATAAGTGATAAAAGCTCGAGTTCTCTCATTACCACTTGCTTAAAAATTGTGAACATTACTCTTTAAAGTTTTTATTATGATGAATGTACAGATGAAGGGCAAGGAATCGTTTTTAAAAAAAATTTTCTAGAGAATGAAGATTGGGCTTTAATCAATGTGCATGAAACAGTTAACAAGAAGCAAACTAGCAAAAGACTTAACTGAACTATTTTTGTGGAAACATCTTTTAGATTCAGAAGCAACCAGGCCTTAAAGAGCCAAAGAAAGCCTAATGGCCCTAACATCACAAAACTAGGGAGCTGCAAGTTCATGATGTTGTCTCAGTGCTTCTATTACTAGACAGCAAAGTTATTCCCACAGGTTCCAGGAACATATAAATGCTAGTGAAGAAGCAAGTAGACTTCAGAGTCTAAGATAGAAACTTCAATCTGGGATTCACCTGTGAGTCAAAACTCTTTGCTAATGAATTATTCCAAAGAAAAGACACTACTGAGGGATACTTTCCCCGGTCTGACAAGACCTCCAGGTTCACTAGCAGGGTCAAAGTAACAGGAATGCTCTGGTCTAAAGGTGCTTTGCCAACCTTAATGGATTCCAGGCACTCACCTGGGTATACAGCTTGAACCAATAAAGAGATCACAATGGCATGATGAATAAGGTAGAGCACCCTGGAGACAAGGTGAGCAACCACTCCACAAGGCTAAATCTTGACCTACATGCAGACTGCAACCTATTTACAAATGGATCACCCTAGTCAATTCAGTGTTGGAGGAGTAATGTCAATGCAAAAAAAAAAAATCTATATACTTGAATTCAAAACTCATTGTATTCAAAGACAATTCATGAAGTCAATCTTACTATTAATAAAATTCAAAATTTTTTATTTTATTAATGGCATTTAACAACTATCAACATTTAAAATATCAAGTTCACCTATTTTTCTAAAATATATTTTTCTGCCCTTCAATGTCCAGGATTTTCACATATGAAAATGAGTTGATACTAACAACATTGAGCTAGAAAAGCTAACAAAATATGATGTTTAGAAACTCTGCATAGAAAAGACTGATTGGAAAGAATAACAGGTAAAGTAATATTTTGGAACTGTGCTTGTAATGGGAAAATGATTTCCAGTTTTCATTTTCTAAATTCTGTTCAAACAACTGGTCTCTTCATTTAAAATGGAGCAATAAATATAGTAGTCATTTAGCATTGCATAGATAAAACTATGTAAGGTCAATATCCATTAAAGGTGGAAGACTGACCACATTCAACTTTGTAACTAGGGGATTTTGCATGTACACTAAATGTTAAAAGGAATTTTAAATGAGTTATGATATTTCAGTTGAAAATGTGAACAACAATGCACTCAGATTAAAACACACTCTTTACCATACAGTGAATAATGAATAAGCTAATACAGTTACAAGTATAGCTACTGAAGTACTTCTACAAGTTTCCCAGATCTCACCTCTTAAAAACCCAAGATTTGCCAGGTGCAGTGGTGTACACCTATAATCCCAGCTACTCAGGAGGCTGAGGCAGGAGAATCCCAAGTTTAAGGCCAGCCTAGAGAGAGCCTTTCTCAAAATAAAAATAAAAAGGGCTGGGGATGTGCTCAGTAACAGAATACTTGTCCAGCATGTGCAAGATTCTGGGTTGAATTCCCAGTACCACAAACAACAAATATCAACAACAAACCTTAAAGCCCCATTTTTTTTTTTAATCAGTAAGGTGGTTAGTATTTCGAAAGTATTCACACATGGTAACTAAAGATAGCTAAACCACCAGAGAAATGCTAGCCATTAGTGGCACCTACATTTTGAATTACTTCAGAATTTGATATTCTGAAGTTCATTTTTAGACACTGAAAAGTGGACAGTCATATTGTCGTAGTTCAAGAAAGTCCCTCTATGCCACCAAATTCACATACGAAACACAAAACTTATTTTCCTCTGTGTTCTGGTCTACCAATTTTGCCTACTAAATGCTCCTACTTCAAGAAAATGCACTCTTTCTTCAAAATCTTTCTTACTAAACAAGCAACTCTGTCAGAAGTGTCTTAATTTCTTATCACAGAATTTTATCCACACAAGGAGCAATAAATAATTCATGTCACTGCCTCTTTGTTGTGTGTCCCTGAACTGCACAGAGCTAGAAGGCTGACAGCTGTGTCAGGACAAGCACCAAAGATCTGACATGACAAGTGACTAACAAGTTTCTTTCAGTTCATAGTGAAAGAAGACAATGGCCCAAAGTGCAGAAAGAAATCCTGAAACAAAATAAAACTGCTTCTTTCTTTTTACCTAAGTGTTTGCTATGAGCTTATTTCCAACCCACAAGCCCTGGTCATTTTATAGGACTGCCCAGCCCCCTTTATTCCTCACACTCGCTTGGCCATTTACGCCTGGCCACGGATCAATATGAGCAATTCTTGGAGAAATACGATGTCTCCATGACAACCAAGCCACAAATTCTCAGTGGAAGGCAGTGAGACCAGTAGTGAACCCTCCAGAGGTTTCTAGGCCTATAAGGCAAGATGTCTTAAAATGCAGGAATGGACAGAGAAAAAAGCCAGAGTAATTCATTCTTTATTACCAGTTTAATGATGTCCCATGTATAGAACAGTACTCACTCTTTAAGTTAAGATTCTTTATTAGCACCTATATTTTCTGATTAATCTTTCTTTTTCGATATGTCCTTTGTTTGCATTAGTCAGACAGAATATGTTACATTTGAATCTCACTACAATTCCATTCACATTAAGGGGCAAAAGGAATGGTATAAAGCTGATCTGTTCTTGTCAAAAACAATGAAACCATGAGTCAAGGTGAACACCTGACTCAGGAATTTAACTGCCTGGCAAAATGGCTAATAAGAAATGTTTTATTAAGACACTTTAAAAAAATCAAGTTAGAACTAGGCAATTTTAGTTCAAACTAAAAGTAATTTCTTAAAAAAACTTTTATTACAAAAATTTAACACCTACCATTACCCTCACCAGTAATCTACATTTTTCTTTTGGCTATTAGGAGAGAGGCTGAGGTTAATTTGCTCATTTAAATTTGCCATCATTGCTAAAGGTGTCGTTTCTCCCTGCAACGGAATACTGAAGTAAAAGGAGGGTGTTGAGAATGGGCACACAGCACAACAGTAGTTCATCTTCTGAGAAATCTTGGTGTAGTGGAGGGGGCTGATATACAATGCCAGAGCCACTGGGCCTATTGGGGTTCCTAGATGACTTAGGGGACCTGACATAGATTGCAGGCTGCACCTTTCACTGAAAATTAAATCTCAGTAGCTCTCCTCGGGGAAGGATCAGGGGACTGTTTGCAGCTGCCCCCTGTCAGTGAAGGCTACAAGATTTGGAAATCTCTTAACTAAGCTGACAGGCCACAGAGAGGATGAATCAAAAATATGATACATGGATCAGCACACAAAGATGTGAGAGGGTAGAGGATACACAGTAGCCAGATAAAACAGGAAAGAGAAATATTCTGTGGGGAAGATATCTAACTCCTTCATTCATGGTAATAAGGTACCTTCTAGCATCTAATGGCTTTATAGTGAACCAAAAATGTCACTTCAACTTTTGCAAGGTTTTTTTTTTTTAAATTAACTAGTAATTAAGACTAGGCATACTTCAAAACAAACCCAAAACAAAACCACACAAATCCATGCTCAAGTGTTTCTGGCTATATCCTTCTGGTACATCTCCGTCTGTTCTTCCCACAAAGAAAAATATAAGCACAAGTGACTTTGACATAGAGTAAATTTCATTGCAAGAGGAAGGGTTGCCATCTTCTTTTCTTTTGTTTGACAATGTCATGCTAAAATCCTCTTCCCATTGAGAGTGCTGTTTGTATTTAGAAAGGTAAATATATTTGAAAGGATGACAATTTGCTCCTCTTTTCTCTTCATCTCTCCATGTCTGCTTGACTCTTGTTAGATCTCATTATTTGAAATATTTAAAATGTCAACATTTCTCTCATTTCCCAATCTCTCTGTATGTTAACCAGTATAGCCTAAAATTGATGATAATGAACTAATAGTGTCAGCTTCCCTTCTCAGTCATGAAGCCTTTGTACTTCCTCCAACTGAATTCTTGATGAAAGAGGAAAAGATAACAGCTCCACACTGTGACCTCTGGAGGTGACCATTAATTTGACAGTGCAGCTGCTAAGAGAAAACAGCATTACAATGTCCTCTCCCCCACCCTTCCAAGGACCCCAAAGCTGTGTCAAATTTATCATTTTATACTTGACTATTTTTAAATGGCTTTCACCTGGACTCTCAGACTCTTCCAAGACACATCTGTCAGGCATGTCCTCAGCATCTTGGAAGTTTGCCGAGTTTGAGTTGCTGTCATGCTTGACCGGACTGACTGGAGCTATTAAAAAAGAGAGAGAAAAGAAAGAGAAAGAGCCATGAAAAAGTAGTAGCAAACACCATTAAAACATTTCTTTTCAGTTCTACAGATATTTCCAGGGATACACTATGTAAACACAAATAATAAATTGAAATAAAATGTATCCTCTAAGTATTTATTGGCAGACACGTAATTAGTTGAAAAATCTATAGATGCGACTTTATCTTAGAAGAAAAATAAGTTCATGGCATCAGCTTAAAAGCTACAAAGTAACAAAGTGATGCCTTCGAAGTGGAAATCGTATTTTTAATGCATAAATCTAAAACAATATAGTCAATTAACAGCAACAGGGCATAGAGAACATCAGGCTACTCAATTAGAAAGATCAGTTCTACGCTGGTGGCAAGGCTTCCTTTGGTGGTACAAATCACAGCTAATGAACACTTCATATGCATTTTGGTTCTCTTTCATTAAATAAAAATAATGGCACTAAACACACACTCAAAAAAAGTCTTTTAAAAAGTAAATCTTAATGAATACACTGAAAATGATACAGAGGCCTGGTGTTTTGAATGGAAAGCATTTAACAACTTGGGATGAAATATTGTTTACTAAGTAAGAATTATAACCAGAAACAGAAGTTAGGGAAGGAGTCCAAACTTTCTATAAACACACTATACTCACTAACTGTATTCAAGAAACTAACTCAGGTTTCTGCATTTTCCCATAACAATTGGTCTAAATTATCTCTGTAAGTAATATATTCCCATATATCATTTGTTCTAGTAATTATCTGTCAGGGAAAAGTGGGCTTTGTCTTCATGAAGAAATTCAGTGAAAAAACAAAATAAAGCAGCCTCCAATCACAAATATGAGGTCCCACTTAAACCATTCTGAAGTTAAATACTATTAAACACACACACATACACACACATACACACACACACACACACACGATTGAGTACAATGGAATTTTATCTATTTTGCTGCAGTAATCACTACTACAGTGTCTTCAGATGTTGATAACACATGCCATATTTGTAAGTCTTAAATGCAATAAACAAAATACACACTTATGCACGTGTACCCAGGCACATGCACACTCGCACGCACGCACACACACGAATCACTAGGGAATATGTTTGTTAGCTCAGGGTTACTTTTGCTAAACCTCCATTAGAAGATGAGAGAGCAGCACTGAGGCTGGAGGCCTTTGCTTCACAGTCTGGATGAGTGACACAATGGTGCCCTGCTAATCCAAGCAGCATTAGCAGTGCTCACAACTGCTGCTCTCCTCCATGAGTTTTAATGGAGCTTGAGTAACAGTGATGATGAAAACAAGAGGACCACATAGACATACTTTAAAGGAAGCTAGTAACATAATTCTGGTCAAACAGCCCCTCCAGATCATTTTACCAGCCCTCTCAGTACATAAACAGCACTTTGCTCTATTAAAATAAAAGCAGTTTAAATTCCCTGCTTCTCTTACAGACTTTTGTCTGAGAACAAAATACAGGAAAATTATGAAATTCTTATTTTAAACAAATAACCTGATTTTTTCACTTCATACATTTGAATTTTCTAAAAACAACATGCAAAACCAAATATCATACGTGCTTCATTCATTTCTGTGTGACAGTACCTGGACTATAGAAAATGTTCCCAAAGGAGTTGTGAAATGAATGAATGAACAAATGAATGAAGCAGAGGTACCAGGCTAGATGTTCCTCTGACCCAAGAGAATATATGCTTTCAATTATCTTTCTGCCGGATCTGTTCAGTTGCTTGCTTAAACCCATTTGAGATCATGGATGTATATTTGCAAATGGTGATGTGGGTTAGTTAGTCTGTGATTTGGAAGAAGAGGCATACCAAGTATGGCCTAAGTAGTCACTATTCTAGCTGCCTTGAATTTAATTCTCCTCATTTTAAATCAGGTGTGGATTATTTTTGAATCCTTAGATTTCTGGGAGATGTTTAAGTGGATAGTTAAATGCATCAAAGCTGCAGAAAACTATTATATTGGTCAAAATTTTCTGGCCCATTTTAATGATTTCTATCTCTCTATATTTTACTTGTTAATTTCCTGAAAGTATTTACATTGGTATTTATAATAGGGAATCAATCATGTAGCTAAATCTTTTACTAAAAGTCAATGAAATAGTACCTCTGTTTGGGCAAATGCATTATACTGTCATCCAATATATTGTTCTTTCCTAATTTAACACTACTACATTCATTCATTTAATCATTTCTCCAGCAAATATTTATCAAGCAGCAGATATTTAAAGATTCATTCTAAACTAGAGATCTCAAGGACAAAGAGGATACGTATTAGAACAATAAAGCACATGCCTACAACCATTTTTAGTGGCAATAAAGTAGACCCAGCATGAAGTGAAGTTCCAAATCTCTCAAGAAAACTAGAGTTAGATGTACTTTTCAGCTGTATCATCTTCATTAAATTCACACCAGTAGGAACCATGCAGCTATTTTTGCCTTTACCTCTGGTTTTTGAGGGTGTGGTTTGTGTGAGAGTAGGGGAGTGAAAAGGATTATCCTTCAGATATGTTGCTTAATTACACATAATAGCTTCCAGATTTGAAGCCGTGTTAGATTTGTCATTTTTACTGGGTAGTTCACAGAGTGTCCAATTAAATTTACTGTAGAAGAAATGACTACACTTTGCCATTTGGGAACAGCAGGCTTTGGAGAGGTTAATTACTGCCATTCTGCTCTTTGTTGTTTGTTTGATAGACTAATTCTTGCAATTGTTCTTTTGGGTGTTTCCTGCCAATGTTTCATCATTAAACTCTGACATGATGTGTGACCAAGGCTTCTCTAATGAATCATTTCAAAAATGGTGAAATCAACAAATATTGATCTAGTGCTTCTTATGGGTAGAGCTCTTTGCCAGACTCTGTGGGGTAAAGAAATGAAGCCACTTTTAATGTGCCCTCATACAACTTGTGATCTAGTTGAAAGACGATGAATTTAACTAGTTAAGAAGCATTAGAAAAAATTTCCTTAGAGCAGTACACATTTTAGGAGTGCACAAGAGAATTCCTTTACAATAAGGTAGTGCAGAGGAGAAATCTGAATTAAACCCTCTTTTAGTACGTGGGAAGCCCAAGGGGAGCTCATTCCCCCAAAAGTGAACACAGGTATGATGGAAGAAATACAGCATCCTGGGGCCACAGAGTATTTGTTAATGTTGCTGCCTGCTTGGTATGTATTTTTAATGAATTCTCCTTACTTGTCTCTTTGAACCTTTCCTGAATTGCTGTTGTTGGCTAATTCTTCTCACCTGTAGATGTTAGCTATAGACAGATTTTTTTCCTTGCCCTAGATAGTCAATAATTTGATTTTTACTGATGATGGGCCCATTTATCACCGTGAGTTGTCCTTTCACTATACATATTGACTTGTATTTATCAATACCAAAGTCCATTTGTAGCTCATCACTAAAGTTCTTGGATATTTCAGTAGTTTTTGAAGGTACATTTCAGAGCTTGGCAAAGAAATACTTTTGACATCAATAAAGGGCAAATGGTTGCTTAGGCTCATCTTTAGGTAAAATTCAAGTGTTTATTTCCTCTGTAATGGATTCTGAAATAGTCTACCTTTGGGGGGTATGGGGCTAAAAAGACAAACTCTTCTTGACAGTTCTACCACTGAAAGATGTAAGGCTATTCCATTTACTCATCACACACCTCAAAATATTGACAACTGAAAGAAAGGCCAATGTTCTAAATATCTCAGCAATATCTTTGGTAGCTAGAGAGATGTGCTTTGTATGGATGCATTTGACTACAGCACCTTTAACCAAGAGTCAAATTCTTCTAGATCCTAATAAAATGAATGGTTCTGCCAAGGACAATAGGAAATCAGTTTAAACTACATTCAGGAATGCCTTAAGAAAAACCCCAACAACAAGAAGACTCTGTGGTTAAGAAACAATATTGGTGGCAGGTCAGTGTAATGCTTCTCCACTTCCTTGTTCCTCATTCTTGCTTCAGTTAGCCTATTAAAACATCTCTCCTTCTCCTCTCATCATTTGCAAAGAGATAGTATTTTCTATAAAAGATGGCTAGGTTTAGCTAGTAAATAACTCCAAGAAATACCTGCCACACTCAACAAGAGTAAAGCCACTGGGGAAAAAAATCTCCATTCCTTTTCACACATACCAGATGATCTTCTCAGGCCAAGACTGTCCAAACAGAGTCCTTGTTAAAAATTCATTATCATTTTCAGTGTAAATAAAATCTGAAGCTCCAAATAATATTTTCAACACAATGATTTATGAATGATTTTTAAAAAGAGATCTCATTCATCATATGTTTTAGGCTTTTTGGAAGTAATAGGGATATTTATAGTAAAATCATTAATAAAAAGAAATGACAGCTTGAAATGTTGGTCAAATGAATGGAATAATCCACTATAGCACCATATAAAGGCCATAGAAAAATATTAATCCCTTATTAATCAAGGGCATTCAAATAATATACAGGTTACAGAGATCAGGTCTTATGGAATAAATGACCTGAATGCAAATCTACTAGTTATATGGTGTCTAGAATAGATAACTTTCTTGCTTGAATTTGGGTCTCTTCTCAATCTTAAGTAATCACTATGAAATAAACTAAAAAGTGTCTTCCTGGAGGCTTGAAAGAAAAAAATGACATCAAATTCAGGTAGAAGAAAATACTAATGCAATATTGGCAGATTACACACATGCATACATACATGCTCATGTGCACACACACACACACACACACACACACAACCTGTAACACATTTCAAATTAGAGGAAGGCATAAAATTCAAGAAATGACTTTAAGTGATAACACCAGATTTGTAAACAAAGTGGATGTCACTTGAACAGATCTCTAAATTCAGTTTACAAAGTAGCTTCTCTCTGGACAGATGTCTTATCAGGAAAGCATATCTAGCTAAAGAGCTGTGTACATAATACCCCTACTTTAAAGAGTATCTACTGAGATAATCAAGTCATAGGACCT